TTAGAAAGGCTCAATAATTGAGGAGGCTCTGTGCCCAAACAAAGCCCCTCCTGTAACAGCTCCTCTCACTTTTTAAGATGTTAATGGTCAACAGGGTCAGAGAGTGACACTTAGCCCACTCTCAATGAGAAGTGGAATTACATTTGCATGAATCTGTCAGGATAAAGGCATCTCTGCAGTAGGTCTTCCTTCCCTCCCTTCCCCTCTACCTCCTATTCCTCTCCTCAAACACACACATTGCCCCAAGCCCTTAACACAAGGCCTGAGAAGGCCCCAATGCAGAAGGTGAAGCATGGAGGTACACTACTCTGTGAAGTCAACATCCCTTATCCTTCTTATACCACAACCTCAGGCAAAGCACGCCAGAACTCCACAAAAGCCCAGAGACAGCTCTAGGTAAAAGGTAAGGAGAGTCAGAGTTTAAACACAGAAAACCTGCAGCCTGGGATGTGATGTAAACTTAATGCAAAAAGCTAGCAATGAAAATAGTCATTATCACTATTTTAAAAGCCATTCTCAAGGGAACAAAGCAAAACCAAAGAGAGTCATACATATAAAATTTGCCTGAATCACATCAATTTGCCAAACCTACACTTGGAATCTCTTTTGAAACAAGGCAAGTAAAATGTGAACATTCAAAAAAGACAGCCTGTTTCCTGAGCCTTGAAATATTATTATTTGGGTTACAATTTATAATGAACAGAAATACATCGTTGTAAAATTGCCTTTGGACATGTTTGGACTGAAATAGACCCTCGAACTGCTAGATGAGAAGAAATCAAAATATCAGGATATGCACTGAATGCTGGGGATGTGGCTCAAGTGGTAGCGCGCTTGCCTGGCATGCGTGCAGCCCGGGTTCCATCCTCAGCACCACATACAAACAAAGATGTTGTGTCCACCGAAAATTAAAAAATAAACATTAAAAATTCTCTCTCTCTCTCTCTCTCTCTCTCTCTCTCTCTCTCTCTCTCTTAAAAAATAGGATATGCACTGAGTTTTCAGTATTGTCTCTAAGGGGGGGGGGGCACTGCCTCCTCCCTGTCCCCATGAGCTGCCACAATCACAGCCGCAATACTAGAACTGTGTCCTTCCCAAAATAATTGAGCGACAACCTCCTAAGTGAAACATTAGGACAACTGGGTGTCCTGCCCCACATCTCTTTCACCCAGCACTTTCCCAAAGAGCAGGTTTCTTAGTCTAGATCATAGTAGGAATGGGACAGCAAAAGTACATGCAAACCACTGAGAGGGCTACCAAACTAAGACTAGTTCCTTCTCAGTCTCTGTTCTGTTCAACAAGGGTTCCAAAAGTCTTGGCATCCAATCACACCCAGGGTCACCTTATGAAATGACAATTTTTATTCTCTATTAAATGCCCACTGGCACATGGCATGGTGCCATGGAAATTAAGTGGTCACCCCCAAAGACACAGAAGCACAGAGAGAATACCAACAACTGTCTCCTAGGAGGAGGAAACAGAGACAAAACAAGGGAGAGAGAGCAAAAAAGAATGAAAAAGAACATGGAGGGAGAGAAAAGGAGTAGATTGACAAACTCAGGCCTGTGCCTGTCACACTGTGGCATTCTATTCCACGAATTAACCTCCCTTTCACCCCAGGTATAAAAGTCATTTGACATCTCAAGTTCAGGTGACAGAACATGGAGCCATTATTATTTGGTCCTTATCCCAATTACTCATAATACCTGGCACATAGGAGCAGCAAGATAAATAGCAATTTCTCTGTTCCTCATCTATTCACAGTTCCTGAACTTTGCTCTTTCCTGTATACCTGTGTGTGTGTGTGTGTGTGTGTGTGTGTGTAAAGTTATGAACTCAACATAAGAAACTCATCTCCATTGTCACCAAAGAGTGATTATACAGAAGCATTACACAGATATTTGGCTTCATACTAAGTAGTTTTAAAGCAATAAATTGCTCAAGTTTGGAAGGCTACTATCCCTGCTTCTTATTAATCAAGTGATCTCAAAAATTTTACCTACTTTATTATTATTATGACTTTATGGCATTTGCCAGTAAATGAATGGATCTGGAGATTATGCTAAGTGAAATAAGCCAATCCCATAAAACCAAAGGTTGAATGTTCTCTCTGATATGTGGATGTGAACCCACAATAAGTGGGGAAGGGATGAAAGAAGTTCTTTAGATTAGACAAAGGGGAATAAAGGGAAGGAGGGGATAGAAATAGGAAAGACAGTGGAATGAATATAACATAATTTTCCTATGTACACATATGAAAATACCTAAGTGAATCCCACCATCTCTATCCACCCACAAGAATGGAGTCCTATAACAGAATAAGATATATTCTATGGTTATATGATTTTATCAAAATGGATTCAACTGATATGTATAACTAAGAAGAACCAATTAAAATAAAAATGTTTATTTAACAAATAAAAAATTTATCTACCTTCTCCAAGTCTTGTTTCCTCTATAATTAAAATATTTATTTGAAAGATTGCTAAAGGTATTAAGAGGAGGACAAAAACAATGTGAAATGCCAAACAGCACAAATATAGGTACTGCTCATTCCTTTTATTCTATAATGTACATGCTATGATAAAAATGCACTGCTTATTAAATCTGAATGCTTTACTATTATTCCAAAAAGGAGAAATGTTCCTCAAGGGCCCTTAGCAAGAACTGAAATTATCTTTATTATAATTTTACTTAAATATTTACATTCCTAAAACTAGACATAAGTGCCTTTGCTTACAGCTCTCATACAATGTATAAAAGAACCTGACAAATTAAGAATAAATCAAACTGAAAAACTAAAGAAATATGATTTTAACATTAATTCCATGAGACTAATAGTATTGTTTTGGTGACGCTAAATCATAAACTGCAACAAGAATATGATACTGATGACAACACTGACTTTCTGGATATAATAATTCCTTCATTGGTGAGAATCTGATGACCTAGTCTCAACCCTCTGCCAGTTTCCTGACTCAGCTGCCAAACCACTGTAAGTATAAAGTGATATATTACAGAGCAAGTGCATCCTTTCTATATTAAGTACATTCTTTTTTCTCATTGACTAGAAACAGAATTTCACTGATTTTCAATGTCTTTGAGTATTAAATGAATGATTTTGCATACTACCAAGAGAGGGAAAGTACAACTTCCAATTAAACTATGACATAATATTAAAGTGTCAGCAACTGTATGATGCATCATAAATGGTGGTGCACATCTATAGTCCTGGCTATTGGGAAGGCTGATACAGGAGGAGCATTTGAGGCCAGAAGTTCAGGGCCAGCCCAGGCAATACAAATAGGCCCTGAATATAGAAAAAAAAGTAAATATTAAATCATGGAAGAAAATGTTCATCTTGTAATCAATGAATACAGTAATTCTCCTTAGCACCAGGATAGTAAACCCAAAATTTGGCTCCTAAGTCATTAAGTAACACTTAAAGATAGAATATATTGGGCTGGGGATGTGGCTCAAGCGGTAGCACGCTCGCCTGGCATGCGTGCGGCCCGGGTTCCATCCTCAGCACTACATACAAAGATGTTGTGTCCGCCAATAACTAAAAAAAAAATTTAAAAAATAAAAATATTAAAATTCTCTCTCTAAAAAAAACATAGAATATATTTATAATGTATTTCTTTAAATTACCAGAGAAATAAAAAGTGAACATTTACAAGACATTAGTGGGATTCTTGAGAAACCCCAAAACATGTATATTTATTCACAGAATTCCACCAACCCTATATTGATAAAAATTGACAGACTTTATGTCAAAACCACAATAATGTCACCCAGAAATCAGGAATGTTGTAAAAATTAACAACATTCCATCAAGAAACAATTTTCAGTTCTTAGAATGAAACTAATACCCTATCCCTCAGAGGAATAATTTTTTAAAATCTATTTATTAAATGCCACTCATGTATGGTAGAATAACACCTTAGGAAAAAATGATAAACCAAGACTATCAGTGCTGTCTTTCAACTGAAGGTGTCCACTTCTAGTAACTAACTGATATGTTCCAACACTATTTAGCATGTTGCATATATTCCCACATTTAAGTGTATACTATATCATTTGATGTTATATTATCTATGACATACATATATAATTTGAACACATTCCTCCTTTTGTTCTAAATACTTGCCACACAGTGTATGCTTCAACAATATCCATATAAACCCCTCCTATTTTCCCACTCTATCATCCCCTTTATTTCCCACCTAACCCATACCCAAGACTATTACTTCCCATGGATTACACAACAAACTCAATATAGATTACATATAACAAAATACAGTTGAGAAAAACGATTAAAACACTGAATTCATACTTTAGCATTTTAATCATAGATAACCATTCTCATTGGGAATACACTCTCAGAAGGTTTAATGCATATAAAAGTTTTGTTCTTCTAAAAAATGGGATGTCAGTATCCAAACAAAACAAAATAAAACAAAAAGATGGGCTGATGCTGTTTTCCAAAGGATACAATACCTAATTAGTCAGCATTTGTTGGGGGTGGGATAATGAAATTAGAAGACCACAGGCCAGTGTTCTGTGTTATAATCCTGCCTTCTGAAGAACTGTGAAGAATTTGGAAATGGTTAAGTTCTTAAATGTTGCATTGCTTTACAGTAAATGCTTATGTGCAATGCTGAAAAGAAGGGGAAAAAAGCCTCTTGTCACCTGAGTGGAGGACATTCTTGCCAGCAGAAACTCATAGGGGTCTTGTCTGCCAGGCTTCTTTCGACAGTCATCATTCCAGCCATGTGAACAGTGGCTCCTCAGAGAGCACTGGCCAGAACAGAGCCTGCTTTCTCAGCTTGACCTGCAGAAAGCACTGAGTTAGCCAAAGAAAACAGGTTTTCCAAACTTGGCTGCACATAAGGACCACCGGAGGGACAAAGCTAAAACAGATTGGTAGGCTCTGCTCCAGCTCTACTAAATCAGAACCCCTAGAAGTGGTTCCTCTGATGGGGCCAGTGTGGGAGACAATGAACCGCAGGCATCAGAGTGCCTTAGAAGGAGAGAAGAGGGGCGGTGAGATGGTCAGGCTAAGCTAGATGCTGATGTTTTCTGTCCTGCTAAAGGAATGCTGCTGCCTAAAAGGGTGGGGGATGGCAAAGCCATTTCTACATCTCTGATGATAGAATAAAATAGTATTCTGTAGGTGTTGTACTAATGAATTTTCTCCAAGGAATGATCCAATAACAACAGATAGAACAGATAGGTTTTCAAAAAAAAAAAAGAAAGAAATTAAATGGTGGCAGACATGTCCAAGGAATATTGCAGGGATTTGATCCCTTCATGAATCTTGTAATAGATGAATGTGTGGAGATGGCAACTAGTGGACAACAGAACAATATTGGAATGGTGGTAATACGAGGAAACAGTATCATCATGTTAGAAGCCTTAGAACGACTATAAATAATGGCTGTTCAGCAGAGAAATCCGTGTCCTCCCTCCAGAAGCCCTGTTTAACTATGACTTGAAAATTGATTCATGTACATTTTCATATTAAACTTTTTGTTAAATAAACTTCAATAGCAAATAAAATTTTTAAAAAAAGAAAAAAATAAAATAAAAAATGGGATGTACTGTGGAAACAGTAGTGTAAACAGTTTTTCCTCTTAATATTACATGCTTAAATTTTTATGTAATTAAATGCAGACGCCTATTAACATTTTCAACAGCTACAGAATATTTCAGTGTGTAGGTACACCTTAGTTTGTTTAGCCAAATGTCTATGTTGAGACACTTGGGTCAATTCACTTTTTCACCCTTCAAAACAGTTTGAACAATGCACAGCTTCATCCAAGCCAATTGATGGATGGGATCCTAAGGATAACATTTCACAAGCGGAATTATTCAGTTGAAGGGCAGGCACATCTTGAACACATATCTCTATGGACCTAGCACCTTGTGTGCTCCCAGCAGCAGTTTGAGAGTTTTCCTCAACCTACACCATGGGGTGGGAGAGAAGTGGGTCTTTTCCTCTGTGGATCCCAACAACACTCTCTATAGTTCCTTAAAGTCCCCACCCCAACCAACTAATAAAAGAAATCTGATGCAAGCACTAAAAAGCATTCTTTCTTTGACTGCATTTTATTATTTCAAGGCAGCAACTCTTTTATCCACTTACATATACACTACAGTTGGCCAAGAAAAAGAACATGTTCCCAACAAATGCCCAAAGAACCATAAAAGAAAATTGGCCTCAGAAATCTCTGTTACCCAGCACCTAGTGGCTCAGAGGGTCTCTTGCTTCCATCCTGTCCTTACCATTCCCAGAGACACCACTGAAATGTCTTGCCTTTACCCTCTCATGCTTGGACTATGGTGGTAACTTCCTAACTGGTTTTCCAATCTCCAGTCACCATTCTGGCCCCACCCCAATTGGCACCCAACCTGCACACAAATCACCATGTGGTTTTCCTGGCATCCTGTCATTCCTCTGGACATGAAAGGCTTTGTTGTCTCCCAGGGTTAGATAGGCTAGTATTTGGAGGTCAAATGGGCTACTATTTGGACACCCCAGTGTAGCAATCAGGGGTGTTCCATGGACAGGACTCACCCCAACTCTCAGACCCTCCCCTCACTTGCCTCCCCACATATTGTACTCCAGGAAGGTCAGCCTGCTCCTTGCCTTTCTTCCACCCTCTTCGCTCCTTGAATGCCCTTCTGGCTTTTCTATCTTATCCTTCAAGCCCAGCTTACTTCGAGTGTCCTAGTGTCCCTCTCCTCTGTAAAACCTTCTCTGAGCACTGGTGGATTCAGCAGTTTCTGCTGCCTCTAAGCACTGATGGGGATGCATCTGGTTGTGACTGGATGGTCTGGTTTTGTTAATATATTTTTGTTTCCATACACCTTGTCTCTTCAAACAGACCATAAACTCAAGGAAAATGACAATGTCTTTTTTCTGCTGCTTAAAACACACAACTTTATTGATAAAACACAAGTTGTAGATTAACAAATGTAAACCAATACAAAAGTGTAACTAATCATGATGTATACTCACTGTATACAGAGTTACAGAGTAAAAAATAATGTAGGTATCAAGATCAAATCAATAAGTGCTTTCTTTGTACAAGCTCTAATACTCATCTAGCATCCTCAGAATGGTCCAGTCTAAATCCAGCATCAATCACTGTTGATAATCTGCTGTATTCATTATTCCAAAATAGCAGCTGAAAGCATTTTTGTAATATCAGTGAAAACAAAGAATTTACAAAACACATTGTTCCCAAGTGCAAACTTAAAAATTACCACAGTAATTTTGGGGGCAGACTCCAAATTAGAGTTTGGTTAATACTTTTAGAACTTTTACTTTTACCACCAGATCATTGTGATTTGCTAATGCTCTGATTTTCTTAACACATATTCCAGATTCTTTGAACAAGAAAAAGAGTGAACTTCTGCTGAATTCTTTTCTGGATGATGCAAGCCCCTCGCTTTTTATGTTGTCATTTATATTCTCAAAAAGCGTAAGGATATTAAGAAGAATCTCTCTATCCCATTCTTTATTAAAGAGGGAAATCAATTCTGATGGTACTTTACAACTGACCAGCTCTCTTGTCATGGCTGGATTTTCAGTGAAGTTTATAATTAGTTTCATAATCTGTATCTTGGTGAAATGATTTCCCAGGAATAACAATGCAAAAAAGTCTGGAAAAGAATAGGAGAGCAAATGTTGGTAATGATTAGTCACAGTCATGTTGGTTAACAGTCTTAGTCCAGCCATTTGCACAGCTGAGTCCAGGCGACAGACCATGGTGTCATCACATACTTGACTGATGTATGTCTTAATCTTGCCCTGATTTTCTGCATTCACACTCAAGTTATTAAGGGCATTGTAAGTCTTTTCCCTAATAATGGGATCTTTTGTTTTTATCAGTTTTGCAATAATAGGGACACCACCTAATTCACGTATGGCATTTTGGTTAAATGAATATGCCGCATTATTACCCAGAGTGACCAAGGCTACTTCTTGAATAAAAGGATCATTTGTTCTCTCCAGGATATTAAGGACCTTTTGAAGGTCGGGAGCACTCAGAATATCATCAATTTTATAGGGAAAGTTGAACTTGCCCCTGCGGACAGGCCATGTTGTAGCTGGAACCCTGGTGCTCTTGCTTCGTGACTTTCCCTTGGATTTTCCACTTGACCTGCTCACAGCCCTAGCCTTGGTGGGGTGGCAGCCTCCACCCCTGCCTCCTGGGCAGGGCAAACTCGGTGCAAGGGTCCTATTTCCAGAGATGTTGCCAACTCTAACCCCTTTGCCTGCCTTTGCACTTGCCTGTTCCTTCAGGATATTAAAAAGGGCCTTGGCCTTAGCCTCTAGGCCACCTCCACTCTGGGATCCCAAGTGAGCCTCCTTCTTTACACCTGGATCACTTTCAGGACCCAAGTTTACCTCAGGCCTGGCCTCTATGTCACCCGGAGATTGGGTTCCAGCCCTCACTCCAATATTAGTCTTAGATCCTTTATCAGGCTCCACCCCAATTTCTGATATGTCACTAGATTCTTCTTCTTCTTCTTCTTCTTCTTCTTCTTCTTCTTCTTCTTCTTCTTCTTCTTCTTCTTCTTCTTCTTCTTCTTCTTCTTCATCATCATCATCATCCCAGATTTTCTCATTCTCATCTTTTCCCCAGGTCAGTCTGTATACACAGTAGCAGGCACCAGCCCCGATGACCATGCCAGCTGCTACACAGCCAGCTTCCCTAGTTCTGCCCATGGTACAGCTGAGGTGAATCCCTTAACCCAGCACAGAGCAGGCTTGCTCTGGCCCAGAAAAATTCTTCCAAATAGAAGGTGAAGTCTTCAGCTGCTGAGGGCAGTCTATGTTGCAACTGCTGATACAGGGGGACCTAGGAATAAAGAAAAGGTTTCAGGTCATGAACTCCTCCTTTTGTGCCTCTGCATGCAGACAGACTGAACCACCTATCTGCAAACATATAAACCTATGAGATTATTGGCCAGGACTTAGGGACTAGTATCTAGATCACTGATTGCTTTCCTCTACTGGGAAGCTCATTTTGAAAAATTTCTCCATATCCAGACTTTCCCACCTCATGTTCCACCACTCCATCCAGGAGTGTTAAATTCAAAGTCTTTGATGAGTTCCCTATAACCTCTGCCTACCATATGTCTTGGGGAAGTGGTGTCCTCAATGCACAAACATGGGTTGATGCAATTGCTTTTTTCTCTTTGTAGCCTCCAAGTGCACTCAGTCCTGTAGATCTGCAGATAAGGGAATAGGGAGGGAGGTGCTGAGAGTTCAGGGGACAGATGGAACTCACCTAGGACAGTACATAATGTCCCTGTTCTGAATCACTGGCCCTTGTCTCTGGTTCCACAGTGTTTTTCAGCTTTTGTTACCCTCCTTTCCTCACAGAGTTGGAGCCTTGAAATTATCTTCCTCTCCCTCCTCCTTAGATGATTCTCCCTCCTTTCAATCACTTCCTCAGAAGGTGATGCCACACCCACTTATACTGATAAGGATGATGTAGGAGAGTAGCAACTAGAATCTAGATGGACCTGAAATGCGTGAAGACCTAGCACTCTGCCCTTGCTTCCCCAACCCCCACCATCTCAAAGGTACCAGAACATCCTCCCCACTCCCCGCCCAATTATACCAATTTCCCCTGCTAGGGAGCAATGTCCTTTCTTCTTCATCTTGGTTTCTGCCTCCACCAAACTTAAGGACTGACAAGCTTTAAGACTGAGGGCTTGGTAGACAGATCAACACTGTACCCCAAACAGTGAATCAGAGTAAATTCCTCACCATCCCAACTCCATGCCAGGCCTCTCTTGACACAGGCCCCCCTCCCAACCACCTCCTTGCCCATCTGGAGGTGGGCAAGGAGGTGCAGAGCACTTTCTTTTGCAAGCTCCCCATGTAGAGAGAAGGAAAAGAGGGGAATAAGAAGGAGTTCCAGCAGCCCCCTAGAGTTTAGAATCACCATCATCCTCCACCCCATAGGTCCCCAATACCATCACCTTCACTCTGACCTACTTGGATCTGCACAAATTCTCTCCTTCCTGCTGCTAGGGTTGGACAGGCCTTCAGGCGCAGGATTCACAGCCACGGGAGACACAGCAAAGATAGTTGACTCAGTGGATACAAGAACACGTCTGAGAATCCCAATACCAGCCTTTCCAGATTCGGGGTTCTGAATGTCAGGCGGATTTCACCTTTTTGCATCTCACCCATCCCCACTACTCTGGTCTCCGCCGACACCAGCCCTCCAGCTCCACCCAGCATCTCCCCCCCACCCCCAGCACCCGCAGCCCCAACGGTCGGCCATTTTCCCAGCAAAAACCACACCCCTTTGGAACCACTGGAAACGGGGGGAGGGAGATGGGATGCAGGAGTACAGAAAACTCTAAGAGTGAAAGGAGACCAAAGGATCTCTTCTGTTGCCCTCCCCAACAAACCTCACTCCCATTGATAACCATTTTTCCTTGTTGCGGCGGGCGGGGGGGGGGTGACGGCTGGGAAATTGCA